GAAAGGGAGGGGAGGGGGAGGAGAACGGGGACGGGGAGGGAGGAGAGGAGGAAGAAAGGAGGGGGAGAGTTGTGTTTCCCACTGGTGAGTTTGGGGAAAATGTTGGGACCACAGCCACAGTTATTGAGGGGGTGCCTGTCTGGAGGTCAGTGGTCATCTGTGCTGCGCAGCAGCAGCTGCAGGAACTGCTATCTGCTACTCAGCATCACTGTCTTATACTCTCTGTGTCTGTGTGTCTCCAGATGCTGCGTTGCTAGCTCCCAGGGCCCTGAAGGACAGAAGCACAGTGGACTGAGAGCACCTTGATGATAAGATACCCCTTGGACAAGTGCTGGACACCCTTCGCCAGGGTCAGCACACAGACCCTGGAGGAGGACGCCACCTCCCACTGTCAGGGCCACTATGAATGGCACAGCCTCCCCTGGCACAGGCTTCATCTGCTGACTGCTGTTGGGGGGCTGGGAGCCATAGGCGTGGGGTATGCTCAATAAAGGGTCCTGGGTACTGGGGGTCCGTGGGGAAGTGGAGGGTGGGCATCCTCAGGGACCCTAGCCCCCACCTCCTCTGTCTGACCCACCCCGGCCTGGGCCAATCACAGCATCAGCAGTAAGCCAGGCTCCGGAATCCCAGTCTAACCTTCAGGCTCCAAGGGAGGCATTAAATATAGGGACCAGCTGGGTGCGGGTGGGCTGGGCTTTGCCTTCTTGCCAGGCATTTATTTTTAATTCCTGGCTCCCGTTTGATGGCATCAGTCACATGGGGAGGTGCTGGGTCATCTGGGAGGCTTTTCCCACTCCCCTCCTGCCTGTGGCCCAGCCCAGGCCTTAGGAGTCGCTGGTTCCCATGGGACAGACAGAGGGACAGGCCAGTCCCTGCCCAGGAGAATCCCCATGGGCTGGGGAGAACTGCGTGGCCCCCAGCCATCACTCCCCTTTCCTTCCGCCTCACACCTGTAGGCTGGTTGCTGGGGGTCCCATCTCTGGGGGAATCCCAGAGGGTTTCATCCCAGAGACTGTGCTGGCCTCCACCTGGGGCGTCCCAGGTCTAGACCCAGCAGCAACAGGTGAGGGAGCTGGTCTCGCCACATGTCCCAAGACCCCGCTGGTGCCTGCCCAAGCTGCCCACCTGTACTTAGGAAGCTCCAGTCAGAGGGGAGACCCACGGGCAATGAATCACCTGGGTGAGGGACCAGTTCTTGGGGTCTTGGGAAGAAACCCCTGAACTTGGTCCTCACAACACATTTGCCATTGCTGGGTCTGGGGCCCTTCTTGGTGGCTGTCCTCATCTGCCAGGATCCTCAGGGTCTCCCCCCACAGCGCATGACTCCTTGGCAGGCCAACAGCAAGGCACTGGGGTGTAACTAGAGGGGGGAGCTGGGGTACAGCTGGGGAGCCGGGCCAGAGGCCTGGAACGGTTTGGATCTGACTTATCTCTTTGGTCACTCATGAGTGAACCCAATGGCGTCCCCCGAACATGTCAGTGGGCTCTGGTGTAAGCGCCCAGCAGGTCCTGCACCCATGAGGCCAGGGTGGAGAAAGTTCCTTCCAGGGCCTCGAGGGAGGGTGGATCTGGGCTGGACCTGCCGTCCGCGGCCCAGGAGGACGGCCCGTGGGGACAGGGCCTGGGAAAATGCCGATTCTGGGATCCTACACAGAAGGCCCTGTACCCACTGCTGCAACCAGGGCAACCCCCCCAACCGAGCTGGGTTCTCTCATTGTGCCTTAGTAGAGCAGGGCCAGGTGAGGGCTGCTGGGAGGCGCAGGCAGCTACGGGCCCAGATCTCCCCCAGGCTGGCCTCTGGGGGCCGCTGACCTGGCACTGGACCCATGGCCACCCCTTCCCCCGCGGGTTCCCTGTGCCGACGTTGCCTCCGTCCCTGGGGACCGCTCGCTCCCGCTCCCCTGCCCCGGCGGCTGTCTGGGATAGCGCAGCCTGAGCGCCCTTGTCTCCTGCGCCTTT